ATAATAGTTGCAGGAACATAATCAAGTTGACGGGCACCATGATTGGATACAATGATGCCAGCTGCTCCATTCTGGACAGCTATTCTTGCTGCAAGAGTCATTTCCTCACTACATTAGTACATATCACCAAAAGCCTGACCACTAAAGAGGTGATTGTGAGGGCCTCCATTGTTCTGAGTTCTTACCATCTTCAGCAGTAAGGACACCCTTCACAAGGATGGGCATTGAAGTGATGGTCTGGAGCCACTTGACATCCTGTCAGTTTTGAGAAAGACATAGTTAATATTGATTTCTTTTTTCAGTTTTTCTAAAAAGTCCTTTTTTTTTTTGGTAATGTCACCTTAATCGTACTCATATAATGAGAATATAAAGAAATTGGAAACTCATAACGAATGGTATGCCATTTCATTTCTACTAGGTTCAGGATACTGACTCAAGTTTGATGACATCGCGTTGGTTTACAAAAAGACACCAGAAAACATGAAAATTGTTTTTAGGTTTTTATGCTTTCAGAAACTAGTTCCACACAAATAGCTCTAACAGGCATGCCAAGATGCAAGCAGCCAAACTAGGGTGAGCATAGTGTTGAGTAATATCCATGACTTAGCAAAAGATCCATTCAGTTATGACAATGCAGCTACTGTACCTTCCAACTTAGAGTGCGATCAATTTGACCAGCAACATATGAAGCTAATCCAGAGTCATCTGCCTGCAAATAGGACAACAATTAAAACTTGTATAAGACCTCAAAAATTCAGACCAGTTACATATATGGACCAATTATTGTCGCAACTTACTTTGTCCATCTTGCCAAGGTCTAATCCCTCGAAGTTCTTCAATGTCAAAAATGGTGGCAAAGTAAATCTGTATCAGATTCAGTCAAATGCACTCTTCAGAGATAGTTTATTAACCTCTAGTACTTTAAGGTTAAAGTCTAACCCCTCAAATTGTGATGTAGCACAACCTAATTCAATAAGTCTAAGATCTATGATAATGTTGGAATTCAAACACACCGATTCTTGATATCTGCTTCTCTGCGTCCCAGTCTAGGTGTGTCAACAGTAAGGGCTATAGCCTTAAAACCTGCCCTTTCAGCTCTTCGCACAAGCTGAGCAACAACATTCCTGTCCCTGTAGACCTGCATAGCAGAGGTATGAAATTTGTCTATAGGTAACTGATGATGACAAGTCAAGAGCTGGAACAGCAACAGCAGTAACACAAAAAGATTGCAAGGATTGCAAATTCATGCTTACATAAAGTTGAAAAAACCGGATGCCTGGTCCTGTTGATGCAACCTCTTCAACACTGGAAGTAGCCCATGATGACAACGTCTGAAATCACCAACAGATCATACATTAATAATTCAGTGTATATTACAAGTCTTTGTACTTTAATCTCCAGGTTCCATTATTTTCCAGTGTGCTATATAAAGCCACACAATGTCAAAATCTTGCTACATTGTCATGTCAACTTTGATAGTTCTTGCCTTCTTGGAGAGTAGATACTGCCAAATAATGTGACCCTATGAATTTAAACATGATCTAAATCTTCTTTCAAAAGATTTGATATAAATTTGACAAGGATATATATTTAACCATAATTGTTCCTGCAGCTGATGCAGCTCTTGCAGTTGCATATTCACCTGCATAAAATTAGTCCATATCAGCTTCAAGAACTTCAAAAGCATGTTTGGTACAAAGAAGTGAGCTGCTTTACATCATGCAGAGACTAATAAATTAATCACATTTCCTTCATGGATTATCCTACTCATCTTTTCTTTTTCAATCACTTTAAAAATGTTCCCATTCCAATAAATAATCTTTCTTTTGTTTTGTCATAGAGAAATATAGAGGATCTTCCTGCTTCTTTAATTGTCATAGAGAAATATAGAACAAGTCAAAAAGTCTCCTTTTCCGTTTTTCCTTTTTTCTTTCCAAGGAGGTATGATATCAGCAAAATGTACTGCAGCTATATTTATCCAAAGGTAGAATACTTTGAGGAGTAAACTGTAAATGTACACTACATCAAATAAAAGGACATTGAGCTAGGTTCTTGGTGCAATGGGTGCAACCAGGTAGTTAAGATCAGCCAAGTATTGCTTGCTAACAGAAAGTGAAGTTTGAAGACGCCACGCAAGCTCAACTTCAAGTTTAGCAAGTCGAAACAAATTGATAACAGTATAGTTTTATGCATAACAATCCTAGTTGAACAATTTGGTAACATCAGTATTCCCAAATGGATATTTCCAGCAGACGTTACTATATCTTCCAGAAGGTCCTCTAATTCTGAACAGTATTAACACGAATATGAGCTAATCAATCATCAATCTTTGAAAACTGTCATTTCCTATGGTACTTATAGGGTATCAGCTGCTAAGAAAGAAAGTTGTTTTGTTAAAAGCTAGGAATCTGTTACCTTCAGGATGAGCCATTTTCTGCATGGCAGTTGGGGCAATCATGATGGGCATTGAAATCTTAAATCCCAAGATGGTGGTGGTCATGTCAATCCTGCTCACATCAATTAGAATCCGTGGCCTAAATCTGTATTGGTTTCAATTAAGCAGCATAGTTAGATGAAATCAGCAATCAATCTTAACAAATTGCTGAAGAGTTACTGAATCATTGTTTATTCTAGGCCTTGAAAATAGGCATCAACTTACAAAATTCTTGAGAAAGCATTTCTATTCTCCGCCAGAGTCCATTCATCCTCTGCACCTGATGCATAGTAATCATATACCATCTTTGGCAACTTCTGCTTGGCAATTGCCTGATATTCCGTGACGTTGGTAATCTCCCCCATCTCTGCGGCAAACTCTCTAAGCTTCCCCTCCTAAAGATCCTACCTTGTTAAGAGAGACACAAAACTCAGATTACAGATTAATTACACGATCCTTTTTCAAAACCATATTTTCTTTATTATCCCCAAAACAAGAATATTCTCTAATTGTCCATATAAGGCAACAGTTAAGACACAAAAATCCCTTTTTCCGAAGCATCCAAAATCTGTTACGTAAAGGGCATATGCGTCACGGCATATGTATCAATACTCTGTAAAGACTCGAAGAAAGAAATCATTAAGGAAAGAGCAATAACCCCTGAATAAGAGCCTAAAAAATTAAGCAAGACCCCAACAAAATTGGAAGTACAGAAGCCCAAATAGTTATGCCATATAAGAATCATAGAATTGGAAGTTGCAACTGGATTGGTTGATCATGTGAGTCTGGCAAAGCAAAATAAGGTCAGTAGAAGCAAAGAGCAAAGTGAAAAGCAGGGGACAAACCTTAACTCTGCAAGAGTGCATGCAGAGGGAAACCACAAGTAGAGAAGTGAGGATAAACTTAAAAGGAGAAAAAGGACAATGAACCAAGAAAAAAAATGACAAGTTATGGAACAAAAAAAAGTGATAAAATAATAGCTGAGATGAAGACAAATGGGGTGATGGCCGATGGGTCATGAAGAGAGAGGCACAAATTTGAGGATGAGTATTTGGAGGTGAGCATTTTAAAACACATCCGATTAGAGGGGCAAATGGTTGGCTCTATACCACATACATCTTGTGTGTTTCAGAGTGTTTTCTTCATTATCATCCCACACCAAAATTTCTGAAAATTTTCCTCCTACTGAAATAGTTCTTTGAATGCATGCTGAGTACATATATATTCACGTTTTATGTATTATTTTGATATAATGATGTGCCTCTATCTGGTCTAGTAGTAACTATTAATACATCACTGTCTTCCTCTCCTTGTCTGTATATGGTGCAAATTTCTTGACTCAGAGAATGGATAACATACTAATGAAGAAGAGAATGGTGGTGAGGGTCCTGTTAGTCCTTGTCTCCTAAGGAACTATTCTTGGTACTTCAACTAGGTACTAATGCTTCTAGTTTCTACATTTGGGATTTCATTTTTCAGCTCATTCCCTTGAATATTACATGTGTTTGAACATAAACAATTGAAGCTTTAATCTAATGATCTAAGTTATTCATATATGTAACTACTTGGATTGAAAGCAGAATTAATGGAATTTTAGGTTGTATCAATTCTTGAATCCAAAATGATAAATTGACGCAGACATGCACAAAATTATCCTATGGTTAGTTTACACTGTTTGAGATTTCAAATACTCATGAAAGTGACTTAAAGATTAAAAATATTCAAAATATAAGGATAAGGAGATAAAATAATTATATAATTAGCTAACCAACAAAAAAAAAAAAAATCACTTGATTTGAGGAATTCTTTGGCTCTGGATTTGAGCATTTAATAGAGGGGACAAATGTAACTCTGGATTTCTTTGAGTGCCAACCAAAATGCATATGGGCACAAACATATGTAGAAATCCTACATGAACAAGGCTCTGTGCAGACAATTACGCCAGCAATAGGCAAGTTTGTATGGCAGTTTCTTATGGGGTGCCTCTTTCTTTTCTTTTTTTTGTTGGGGGGGGGGGGGGGGTGTAGAAAATTCTTAGGACATGTCATGTTTTGACAAAGCTTACATTGATTGTTAGAACTAATCTGTTTCTTGAAAATAATTAGTGCTACTAACTTGTTTCCTAGTATCTATTTATGTACATTATTGTCTACCATAACATTTGTGGTGGTGGCGACAACTTGTCAAAACTAAAAGAGTTTTTGTTTCACACGAACTAGTAGACCATGGAAGTCAAGACTTGAAGATGTAACCTATCTTGAATATAATAATAATGATAATAATAAATTTTCATTTTGTGAATCACGGATACAAAGATTGTCAGGTTAGTCGTATTAAAATACAATTACTAGTTTAAGAATGATTAATAATTTTATGAGTTACACTACTGTCTAGAATTACTAGTGCCCTTTAGTCGAATCCTTTAAAATTTTCTTTTTAATAAAACGAAGCAGAATACTCAATGGGACGAACAAAAATTATAAATCTCTTCACTATGTTTTTGTGATAGTATATGTATCTCAACCCTGCCAATTTGATGAAGGTTGAAAGCATGGTGCTGGGCAAATTATATTAAACATCGTCTGTATGTTTATTTGAATATAATAGTAACCATACAAGTTATCACAAACTGAATCTTCAAAACTACGGTGGAAGTAACATTTATTCTTCTTAATCCTGCAAATTTTTTGTTTTTTTCATGAATGAAGATGGAAAAGAGATGCGCAGAGAAAATCACAAAGCTTCTGGTCACTCAACTCCAAGCTTCTTCCTTATCTCCAACATGAAGTCATAAGTCTCATACTGATTACGCATAGTGGTGGATACACTTTCCCTCTGCAAGCACCTTTCACCCCATGCAACAAGTTTTGGGCACTCCTCATTCATGCTCAAGTTTCCAAACTTCTCCAGGGTATAAAACCGGCTGTAGAAGGGTATAAAGGCAATATCTGTGATGCCAAAAGTCTTTCCCCCAAAGTAAGGTTTGTCTCCAAGCTCTGCATCCAATATTTTGAGGCTGCTTATTAGTTCTTTCATGGCTGCTGCCTGGGTTTCACCCTTGGTTGTCAACACTGGTCTTCCAGAAGTATAGATCTGTATTACACAACCCATATACTCCGGGATAGTTAGATTATGCTCACAATAATCAGATCACAAAATTCAAAAGCCATCATACTCTCTGTAAATTTTCATAAAATCCTATGTGGAAGCATTAACGTAGGGCTGTTCAAGAAATTAAGCTGGCACGAAAATGGTTCGTTCTAATTTTACTAATAGGAGAACAGAATGGTTCATTCAGTCGAAATTACCTTTTTGTCTATATAATCAGCCCAGAACTTTGAGTGAGCTCGCTCATAAGGATCAGTTGGCAGCAAAGGAGATTTGTCATTCCAGACTTCATCAATGTATTCAACAATGATGAGGGATTCACAAACTGGCTTCCCATTGTGAATTAGGACAGGGATCTGTTTATGCACCGGGTTCATTTCTAAGAGCAATGAACTCTTCTTATTCGGCAAATCTTCTTGTTTGGACACGAAGGCTACGCCCTTTTCTTTCAATGCAATTCTGACCCTGTTAGCAGGAGGACTATGTTCATGGTCCAACACAATCACTTCATCAGCCATTCTTACGGGCTTTGCAAAACCTGAATCTTTTCTAGAAAAACGAAAGGAAAGGAAAAGGGTTGGAGACTTGGAGTGGTTCGGTAAAAGAGCAATTTTCGGGTGTTGTTTGATAGAAGGGAGACACTGCAGAGTTGTATTTATAGGAAATTTGTTATGGTTTTCCTGACATCGAAGTTTCTTGGTGGGCACTTCAAGGACTTGACTGTTTGCCCTCATAATTTCAACAGAAGTAGCTAAGCGATGAGCTAATTAAGTATGATTTCTTTATTGTTTCTACCGTAGATTATATAAGCTTGCCTGGCTTTTTCTGCATTAGCTTGCGATAAGCTAAGAGCGCTAAATTAAGTTGTGTTTGGATTGGGGGATTTAACGAGGGATTTGATGAAATCCTCTCAAATTCCTCTAATTGTTTAGATCATTTAGGAGTTATTTGGATTTGTAAATTACCAATTAATTTAATATATAAAGTGTATTTATATAATTGGTGAATTACAAACCGAAATACCTCTTATAATTTTTAAACAACTAAATCTTTCATCAAATTCCTCAATCCCAACGAAGCCTTAGGTTTCTCCACGGTTTGTACTGTAGCTTTTTCTGATATGGCATCTCGAGTTCTCGACTTCTAATACATGTTAAGAAAATTCTCCACTTTCATCTGAAAATTCATTCATACACAGTAAGAGTTTATTTGGATGATTTATTTGAGATAATTACTGTAACACTTTTTGTGATGTGATGTATGTGAGATAAAAAAGTTATTGAAATTTGTGAGGCAAATTATTTTTTTTCAAGTTATCTCTATCCAACATTTATTGGAGTTTTTGACTCATATCTTCTTGACGGCAGGAGTGAACAAAAAGTTCGCATACCAAATAAGACTTTCAGGCACAGAAATGAGAAGGATCGATTAAGGGGTTGGAAAATGATGAACAAGTAATAGCACCATACCAACATTAGTTGAGTGATGACGGTACACGGTGAGTGATGAATAAGTAATAAATGTTGATTATTATGTAAGACACCACATGAAGAATTCACTCTAATTCTCATGAAAAATCTTACGGTACACGGTAGCGCGATTCTACATAAGCATCTTCAGCTTCTCTAAATTTTATAGCATTCACCCACTTCCAAGTAGTCAAAGAACTTTCGGACTGAGGGACCCCAAATTAGCTTCCCTCCGTGGTTAACACAGAGACTTGCGTATAAAGGGGAAAAATTTCTTATACAAATTTGCTCACAAAATAACTCACCCTCGTCCAGAAGGGGTGGACCAGAAATAGACTAGAATCACACTTAATCATTACAAAAACGAAAAAAGCAGAAAAAAAAAAACACACACACACACACTTCGCCAAAGGTACATTGGTAGGAAGGTCCACAACAACAACAACAACATATATAGTACAACAACACTTCAAAACGGTAAAAGCAAGATCAGTGCAAATGTTAGAAAAAGTAGTAGTAATAATACTCAATTGCTGATCCAATCGTACACTCCGGCCACATTTTGATGGGAAAATTGTGATACATCCATAAAATGGGATTCTATGCTACACATACGATCAAAAAGGATATCATACAATATGAGCAACATTTGTGTCATTCTCTATCAAACACCTATTGCACCGCCTGCAAGAAGCAAATTTAAGGTGACACCCAGGCTCGACTTTTGTATGCCTTATCTTTTACAGGACGATCATCTACAATTGGTTCAATCGACCAGTTACCGAGTTCCAAAAACATTAGAGATGTGATAAGAGTATCTTCTGCCACTGATGAAATAGAATATACTCGTAATTAAATTCAGACTTCAGGATGCCATAGTAAATTAACTCCATCATTTTCAGCATCACAGTATGAGGAGCCAACCTCATCATCTACAATTGCTAGAGGCTGCAAGCGGCCGAAACATATGTTCAAGTACAGTCCATACAAGGAAAAGAGATTAAAGGCAGAGCGACCAGGTAAAATCTCATTTCTTCTAATGAGGAGCATAGTAAATCTTGAGAACATAATTGTCTTTCTTGAATGCTTACCTTGCAAGACTGCTCACGCAATAGAAGGTTGTTTCTCTTTGCTGAATAATACTAGATGTTCAATAAGCCTCCCCTTCAACGACTCGGGAATTTTTGAAATGAAGGCTGATTTGGCATCTTTTATCAACAGCCTCCTGTATGACATAAATGTAGACGAGATTCCATATGAGCTGTAAGTTACAAATAAGTACAAAGAAGAGAAGATACAAAATATCAAATGCATGTAAAGGTTGCATAATTAAATTCCACAGGCACAAAAATATTTTATTGATAAGTGGATAATCATGTAAAAAGGGAGTAATGACATCATAAATCACAACATCCAGGTAAACAAACTGATTCCACGGTTAACTTGTCTCACCTCCCATTTCAGTTAACAACCTCTAATGCAATAATATGGCAATCAGATTTGTGGCTTAAAAGGTTCCACAGTCCATGAGAGCTCTCCAATAGAATACAAGGACAATTGAAATCAGTATGCTGAATCCATTTGTTTGGACACAATAAATTCAGGAACACTAAACACTATTGACACATTCAGCTCCTCATATTCTAGCAATTTTAATCAGTGTCTGAAAATTTTGGTCATCTATAAAGCATCAAATGTTCCACATCCAGGTTAACTAAAGAGAAGGAAGCATTAATTAAAGAATGAAATACATGAAAGCCAGAGGAAAAAACCTGAATTTCAACAACTCAAGAAACTTACTTCAATTGGTTGACATTTGATGCATCATATTCTGCTCGTCCCACACACAGCTTTTTCCGAGAAAGCATAAAAGTGTAAACTTCTTCTGACCAACCACATGATGCCAGCACTGATGAAGCCTCTTTCTCAATGCTGAGAGAGAGAGAGAGAGAGAGAGAGAGAGAGAGAGAGAGAGAATCCTTAGATCAATGATCAATATGAAAGATAGCAAGTGTTGCGACTTTATAGAAAGGTTGTTTGCGAAAGTAATGCATGGCCATGAATGCACTTTGCCAAAAAAGAAACTAAAATTTTTAGCATATGACATAAGTGCCTTGCCAAGAAATATCAGTTATTAAAAGTGCTTTACATTCAAGCCATATCTTCAAAGGCACTTCTTGACTTAAATACTTCTTGACTAAAAGCACCATCTCTCCAAACTCTTATCTATAATCAGGAAAATCAATGAATATGGGATTTTCCTCTAGATATACCAGCAAAACCAACAACTCAATCATCATAATGGTCACCACATCATTCAAAAATAAAACCATGCTGAGCCAGAAAAACGAACAAAGACAACATAAATGCACATACATTGAGATAAATGTGCAAGGCACAACTAAAAGTGCACAAGAAGCAACCAATTTAGACCGTTGCGTAAGCAATTTGAGATCATATCAAAAATCAAAATCAGGCACCAGACAGAAGCAAGCTCATATAAAGTCACTCCTTGAGATGATTATACTCGTGAAAAAAGTAGCATAAAACTCCGTTAGAGCAATCATACCCTAAAATAGTTGGTATATGCACTTTTATATAGCACATGGAAAACAGTTGGGCATTTAGTTAGCAGAACTTCCCCACACAATAATTTGCATAAAAAAATATATATTTAAAGGGCAGAAACAAAAAAAGATAACTGCATAAGCATATTAATTGTAGAAACATACATTTTCTTGAACTCCTCCACCTTGGCACAAGATTTCATTCCATAAAATTTCCCCATCACTCACATCATCCTCATTTAATAGTCCTGCAACTCGTCTATCATACATAAGTGCTGCCTCCAAAAGAATGCTAAAGTTTTCATCTGGAGTCCTGAAAATTACTTATATGGAATCAGAGATGCTATGCAGAATAACAACATTATAACAATTTGGCTATTCCTTAAGACAACAGCCGCCATCTATATTTGCTATAAACTCACATCATTTAGTTATGGCCCATTAACCACATAACTACCATTTCGTACTGCATTTCATGCGAAAGAATTGAAGAATGCATGAAAAAGCTATTCAGATTATCATTGGTACCCTTCTTTCTGGTTTTGAAGCTCGCAAAAACAGCAGTGGTACTAATTTCTGTTGTTGGGAGATCACTAAACTAATCAATGTTTCTGTGTTGTGAACAGTTTGATCTCAAATCAATAACACTCCTCAAATGGTTATCTGTCTCCGAAGAACTAAAGCCATAACTTTACCTTAAAAAGTTTCATAAGCTCCCAAGATACTGTGGAGTAGGATAGTCATCTACAATTTAGTAATTAGGTGCTTAGTTGATCTACTGAATGAAGACACATCAACAGCTTACCAACTTGTGCTGCTTACAATGATGGCAGGTCTGTTCTGCTTCATAATTATATTTGTGCCAGTATGAATTGTAAATAAGGTAGAATTGGGATCACTTTCACCTGTTCCAGTCATTCCTGCAGTTTTAAGAGAAAACCATGATTGGCATCAACTAATTCAACATCAAATAAAGATCAACTGCATAACAAATTGTGTTACTACTACCATAGCTTATGCAGTCTTGAAGTCCAAAGGGTTGACTGAGACTTTCGCTGATCCTACAAAACAACTACAATCCACAGTCAATTTTTAAAATTCTCAAAGTCAATACATGTTGCTGAACAATCCGATTGGAAAAAAAAAGTACCTCATGCTTCTCCTCAATGGAAGCAGGTCGGAAAAATTCAGGAGGTTGATCATAAAGCACAGTTGCTCTGAGATATAAAAACACAAAAATGATAAGGAATACTTGCTGGAGCTAAACCATAAGATGACCAATCAGAGCCAAATGTGAAGAAGAGAATTCATACTCTTACTTAATCCCCTAGTTCTGATCCAATTCATGTTGCATTGCCTTTGTCACACAAAAGGCACCACTTGCCATCCTCCCGTAATGCTTCTCAATCCTAGATATGTTTTGACTTTATGAATCATTAATTAAGAAAAGGTCCAATTCTACACTTAAATGGAAAAGGTTTGTCTTATACCAACGATATATTGTCACAAAACTGCTGCCCCTCCCAAGAGTCAGTGAAAGTAGTGTGTAACCAAAATTATGCCAGTCTAATACAAAAGCAGAATGTCTCAGGCAGCTGGCCCATTTAACAGCTACTAAAGTAGGAACTGATGGAGGATTCTGCAATAATACAACCCATAATGTTGAATTGTGAATGGAGGTAGACAACAAAATTTGTGAAAAGGATGAATACTTCAGATAGCAGCATCTTAATAAGAAAGCTAGAGCTCATATTTTTAGAATAAACTTTGGTCCAATCTCATGCACATGAATTTGTTTGGATTCGAAATGGAACCGAATCACATGGATTTGTGTCTAACCTTACCCATATATGTTTTGGGACTAACTTGGGCGGGATCACTTTGGAATGTGTTTAGATTGATCCCGCCCAATACCCAAATTTATTTTCTATATTTTTTTCTTTTAATTCTTTTTTATTTTTTATATAACTTTAATATTTTTATTTGTTAAATTTCTTTTTATCTTATTGTGAATTTATATTTTCCTGAATTCATTTACATTCTAGAACGATCAATAGTTACTTTTAAAAGACATAACATTTTGGTAAGAATGAACATATCTTCTCCCTGGATTAAACCAAAAATTGGATTAACAAATAAAGGAAAATATAGATATATAGCCATATTCCAACCTTATCCATAATATTGTCTAACACAAGAACTAGAAACAAGATTTTTTAATACCAAATTCATTCTTATTGACATTCTTAAAATTTCCAAAATTTGATACAAAAGAAATTCACATTAAATGCTGAATAAAACTAGCATAGAAACGAAAAAGCTGATTAAAAATTGATAACAATGTTGCATATAGAAATCTATGTAGATAGTTCAACAATTAGCATAAAATCAACATAAAGGGTGCCAACAATTGTTAGTAAAGTATTGATTCTTGTAGACAACAAAATTTTATCAATTCATTTTATTTTTATTGTTATCTTTATTTTTTTTAAGTTGTTTAAATGAAATCATTTTTACTTAATTGGTTTTCTTTTGTAGGAAAGTGAAGAAAGGAAAAGAAAGAAAATGGAAGTGCAAAAAAATCAGATTTTTGCAAAAAAAAAAAAAAAATCAAAGATGAATTTTTTGATAAATGAAATTTTTTGGGAAGATATTTGAGCCCAATGGGTACCCAAATATTTCCCAACATTTCCCATCAAATAATGGGTACAATTGGGATGCATCCCATTTTAAATCCAATATCAAATTATAATACCCATCCCGCCTAAAGTCCTTTTGGGCATGGGTAACCCATTGGGACTTGGGACAAATTGCCACCTCTACTCAAAAGCTTTGACATTATCATAATGTAGATTGTAGACTCATTTAAACATAAGTGAGTTTTCATGAAAAGGGATTCTCTTGAAAGCACAAATGCCATGGTTCAAATTGTAATGAAGCAGTTGCCTCTAATTTAGGCAGCTGCATTCAAAGCCTTGCTGGAGGAAGAAGGCGTGGAACATCCCAGTCGGTGACAATGTGGTTGCGAGTAATCTCCGAGAGTGACCGGCAGCCGCTCAACGCCATGGTTAGCTCAAATTCCTCACGCAGCATCTGAAGTACTTTTCTAACTCCAGCTTCTCCTTCTGCAGCCAAGGAGAAAACCACAGGTCTTCCAATCTGTCCATTCAGAACATGACCACATGATCACTTGTTTTGCAGAAACATATGCAAATTACATTAGACCAATTCGTCCATATTTATGGACAGAATGAGATCATACCAACATCATGGAAGATTCTACTATAAATTTCGTTAATATGTTGAACTTACGAATATGCCAGAAGCTCCAAGGGCTAAGGCCTTGAAGACATCAGTGCCACGACGGACCCCTCCATCCAAGAACACTGGCACACGACCCTGTGCAGCTTTCACAACCTAAAGTTTTCACATCAGAGAACATGGTTACCAAATAATGATATGATAAAAAGTTTCCGATTAGCTTAATTTTGGTGTATTCATCGGGCGTTTAAATGTAAAGCAGATGATAAGCCAGGCAAGAGTTGGGCACCTCTTCCAAAGCCATAATAGTTGCAGGAACATAATCAAGTTGACGGGCACCATGATTGGATACAATGATGCCAGCTGCTCCATTCTGGACAGCTATTCTTGCTGCAAGAGTCATTTCCTCATTACATTAGTACATATCATCAAAAGCCTGACCACTAAAGAGGTGATTGTGAGGGCCTCCATTGTTCTGAGTTCTTACCATCTTCAGCAGTAAGGACACCCTTCACAAGGATGGGCATTGAAGTGATGGTCTGGAGCCACTTGAAATCCTGTCAGTTTTGAGAAAGACATAGTTAATATTGATTTCTTTAAGAACAAGGTAAACTTCTAGCTATGCTCTTTCAGTTTTTCTAAAAGTCCTTTTTTTTTTTGGTAATGTCACCTTAATCCTACTCAAATAATGAGAATATAAAGAAATTGGAAACTCATAACGAATGGTATGCCATTTCTACTAGGTTCAGGATACTGACTCAAGTTTCATGAAAATTGTTTTTAGGTTTTTATACTTTCAGAAACTAGTTCCACACAAATAGCTCCAACGGGAATGCCAAGATGCAAGCAGCCAAACTAGGGTGAGCATAGTGTTGAGTCCATGACTTAGCAAACGATCCATTCAGTTATGACAATGCAGCTACTGTACCTTCCAAGTTAGAGTGCGATCAGTTTGACCAGCAGCATATGAAATTAATCCAGAGTCATCTGCCTGCAAATAGGACAACAATTAAAACTTGTATAAGACCTCAAAAATTCAGACCAGTTACATATATGGACCAGTTATTGTTGCAACTTACTTTGTCCATCTTGCCAAGGTCTAATCCCTCGAAGTTCTTCAATGTCAAAAATGGTGGCAAAGTAAATCTGTATCAGATTCAGTCAAATGCACTCTTCGGAGATAGTTTATTAACCTCTAGTACTTTAAGGTTAAAGTCTAACCCCTCAAATTGTGATGTAGCACAACCTAATTCAATAAGTCTAAGATCTATGATAATGTTGGAATTCAAACACACCGATTCTTGATATCTGCTTCTCTGCGTCCCCCTCTAGGTAGGTCAACAGTAAGGGCCATAGCCTTAAAACCTGCCCTTTCAGCTCTTCGCACAAACTGAGCAACAATATTCCTGTCCCTGAAGACCTGCATAGCAGAGGTATGAAATTTGTCTATAGGTAACTGATGATGACAAGTCAAGAGCTGGAACAGCAACAGCAGTAACACAAAAAGATTGCAAGGATTGCAAATTCATGCTTACATAAATTTGAAAAAACCGGATGCCTGGTCCTGTTGATGCAACCTCTTCAACACTGGAAGTAGCCCATGATGACAGCGTCTGAAATCACCAACAGATCATACATTAATAATTCAGTGTATATTACAAGTCTTTGTAGTTTAATCTCCAGGTTCCATTATTTTCCAGTGTGCTATATAAAGCCACACAACGTAAAAATCTTGCTACATTGTCATGTCAACTTTGATAGTTCTTGCCTTCTTGGAGAGTAGATACTGCCAAATAATGTGACTCTATGAATTTAAACATGATCTAAATCTTCTTTCAAAAGATTCGATATAAATTTCCCAAGGATATGTATTTAACCATAATTGTTCCTGCAGCTGATGCGGCTCTTGCAGTTGCATATTCACCTGCATAAAATTAGTCCATATCAGCTTCAAGAACTTCAAAAGCATGTTTGGTACAAAGAAGTGAGCTGCTTCACATCATGCAGAGACTAATAGATTAATCACATTTCCTTCATGGATTATCCTACTCATCTTTTCTTTTTCAATCACTTTAAAAATGTTCCCATTCCAATAAATAATCTTTCTTTTGTTTTGTCATAGAGAAATATAGAGGATTTTCCTGCTTCTTTAATTGTCATAGAGAAATATAAAACAAGTCAAAAAGTCTCCTTTTCCATTTTTCCCTTTTTCTTTCCAAGGAGGTATGATATCAGCAAAATGTACTGCAACTACATTTATCCAAAAGTAGAATACTTTGAGGAGCAAACTACATCAAATAAAAGGACATTGAGCAAGGTTCTTGGTGCAATGGGTGCAACCAGGTAGCTAAGATCAGCCAAGTATTGCTTGCTAACAGAAATTGAAGTTTGAAGACGTCACGCAAGCTCAACTTCAAGTTAAGCAAGTCGAAACAAATTGATAACAGTATGGCTTTATGCATAACAATCCTAGTTGAACAATTTGGTAACATCAGGATTCCCAAATGGATATTTCCAGGAGACGTGACTATATCTTCCAGGAGGTTCTCTAATTCTGAACAGTATTAACACGAATATGAGTTAATCAATCATCAATCTTTGAAGACTGTCATTTCCTATGGTACTTATAGGGTATCAGCTGCTAAGAAAGAAAGTTGTTTTGTTAAAAGCTAGGAATCTGTTACCTTCAGGATGAGCCATTTTCTGCATGGCAGTTGGGGCAATCATGATGGGCATTGAAATCTTAAATCCCAAGATGGTGGTGGTCATGTCAATCCTGCTCACATCAATTAGAATCCGTGGCCTAAACCTGTATTGGTTTCAATTAAGCAGCATAGTTAGATGAAATCAGCAATCAATCTTAACAAATTGCTGAAGAGTTACTGAACCATTGTTTATTCTAGGCCTTGAAAATAGGCATCAACTTACAAAATTCTGGAGAAAGCGTTTCTATTCTCCGCCAGAGTCCATTCATCCTCTGCACCTGATGCATAGTAATCATATACCATCTTTGGCAACTTCTGCTTGGCAATTGCCTGATATTCCGTGACGTTGGTAATCTCCCCCATCTCTGCGGCAAACTCTCTAAGCTTCCCCTCCTAAAGATCCTACCTTGTTAAGAGAGACACAAAACTCAGATTACAGATTAATTACACGATCCTTTTTCAAAACCACATATTTTCTTTATTATCCCCAAAACAAGAATATTCTCTAATTGTTCATATAAGGCAACAGTTAAGACACAAAAATTCCTTTTTCCGAAGCATCCAAAATCTGTTACGTAAGGGGGCATATGCATCACGGCATATGTATGAATACTCTGTAAAGACTCGAAGAAAGAAATCATTAAGGAAAGAGCAATAACCCCTGAATAAGAGCCTAAAAAATTAAGCAAGAACCCAACAAAATTGGAAGTACAGAAGCCCAAATAGTTATGCAATATAAGAATCATAGAATTGGAAGTTGCAACTGGATTGGTTGATCATGTGAGTCTGGCAAAGCAAAATAAGGTCAGTAGAAGCAAAGAGCAAAGTGAAAAGCAGGGGACAAACCTTAACTCTGCAAGACTAGTGAGAAGAGTGCATGCAGAGGGAAACCGCAAGTAGAGAAGTGAAGATAAACTTAAAAGGAGAAAAAGGACAATGAACCAAGAAAAATAATGACGAGTTATGGAACAAAAAAAGGTGATAAAATAATAGCTGAGATGAAGACAAATGGGGGTGATGGTCATGAAGAGAGAGGCACAAATTTGAGGTGAGCATTTTAAACCACATCCGATTAGAGAGGCAAATGGTTGGCTCTATACCACATATTTTAGGTTCTATCAATTCTTGAATCCAAAATGATAAATGGACGCAGACATGCATAAAATTATCCTATGGTTAGTTTACACTGTTTGAGATTTCAAATACTCATGAAAGTGACTTAAAGACTAAAGAGTTGTCGGCTTTTGATATTAGCTTTCGGATTAGGTTTATTTCATTCCACAAAAGTCAATTGTTTTGAGTCGGAAAAAAATGAAAGTGACTTAAAAGACTAAAAATATTCAAAATATAAGGATAAGGAGATAAAATAATTATATAATTAGCCAACAAAAAAAAAAATCACTTGACCTGAGGAATTCTTTGGCTCTGGATTTGAGCATTTAATAGAGGGGACAAATGTAACTCTGGATTTCTTCTAGGCATGAGTGCCAACCAAAATGCATATGGGCACAAACATATATAGAAATCCTACATGCATAAGGCTCTGTGCAGACAATATAATAATAAAACGAAGCAGAACACTCAATGGGACGAACAAAAATTATAAATCTCTTCACTATTTTAGTATATGTATCTCAACCCTGCCAATTTGATGAAAGTTGAAAGCATGGTGCTGGGCAAATTATATTAAACATCGTCTGTGTGTTTATTTGAATATAATAGTAACCATACAAGTTATCACAAACTGAATCTTCAAAACTAGCTAGGGTGGGGATCACTCTCATATCTTGAACTAACATTTATTCTTCTTAATCCTGCAAGCCTGCAATTTTATTTTTTTTTTCATTGAATGAAGATGGAAAAGAGATGCGCAGAGAAAATCACAAAGCTTCTGGTCACTCAACTCCAAGCTTCTTCCTTAGCTCCAAAATGAAGTCATAAGTCTCATACTGATTATGCAGAGTTGTGGACACACTCTCCCTCTGCATGCACCTTTCACCCCATGCAACAAGTTTTGGGCACTCCTCATTCATCTCCAGGTTTCCAAACTTCTCCAATGTATAAAACCAGCTGTAATAGGGAATAAGGGCAATATCTGTGATGCCAAAAGTCTTTCCCCCAAAGTAAGGTTTGTCTCCAAGCTCTGCTTCCAATATTTTGAGGCTGCTTATGAGATCTTTCTTTGCTGCTGCATGGGTTTCACCCTTGGCTGTCCACACTGCTCTTCCAAGGGTATAAATCTGTATTACACAGCACATGTATTCCGGCATAGTTAGAATATGCTCACAATAAAGTGATCAGAAAATTCATTGTTCACCCACCTCCATGTAAAATCGCATTATAATCTAGGGTGGTCGTTCAAGAAATTAAGCTGGCACTAATATAATTCGTTCTGGTATTACATATAAGGGACCGCACTTTATTTAGTTAACCATATGAACAGTAGTGATATATGGACACACTAAAAATTGAGATGATGATTTGGACAGTTGCTCTCACCTTTTTGTCTATATAATCAGCCCAGAACTTTGAGTGAGCTCGGTCATGAGGATCAGTTGGCAGCAAAGGAGATTTTTCATTCCAGACTTCATCAATGTATCCAACAATGATGAGGGATTCACAAATTGGCTTCCCGTTGTGAATTAGGACAGGGATCTGTTTATGCACCGGGTTCATTTCTAAGAGCAATGAACTCTTATTCGAAAAATCTTCTTGTTTGGACTCGAAGGCTATGCCCTTTTCTTTCAATGCAATTCTGACCCTGACAGCAGGAGGACTATATGCATGGTCCAACAGAATCACTTCATCAGCCATTCTTACAAGCTTTGCCAAACCCAGAGAAAGAGAAGGAAAGGGAAAGGGTTGGAGACTAGGAGTGGTTCTGTGAAACTATGCGAAATCAGTTTTTTTTTTTGATAGAAAAGAGACAGTTTAGAGTTGTATTTATAGTAAAGTCGTGATGGTCTTCCCAAAATCAATCCATAATTAAATTGATCATACAGGGGAAGTTTCTTGCTAGGAACTTCAAGGACCTCTGGCCTCACTATTTCTATCAGCATTAGCTATGCGATGAGCTAAGGCCTAAGACTGATTCAGTAGTATGACTTTTTTCTCTGGTTTCTACATATAATATAAGCTCGCTTCTCTTCTTCTGCATTACGTATGCGATGAGCTAAGAGTACGTTTACTTGATTGTTTCAGCTGTAGCCGATCCTTTTCTGAGGCAGCATCAAAAGTTCTTGACTTTTACATCTTTAAGAAATGACAGAATCTTTTTCTTTCCTCCACTAAAATCTTCGTCACCTGAAAATTCATTCATTTACAGTCTAATGGCGGTTTTTGACTCATTTCTTATTGACAGCAAAATTAAACAAAAGCTAGCATACCAAATAAGACTTTCTAAAACAAAAACAAAAAAAAAAACAGAAAACACTAGACGATGATTTCACTTCTCTGATTCTCTCCAAAATCTCATGGTAAACGGTTGCACAACAGTGGCGGACCGCCTCAACTTTGAAGAATTTTCAAAATTGGCTTAAAAGAATTGTCAATTTTCAATACTGTCCTATAATTGCACCCACCTAAAATTGCTGAAATGAAGCCAAGTACTAGTTGAAAATTTAGGAAACTTTTGGTGCATAGAAATAAACATAATTTTGTTGTCTACTGTGTAAAAAAAAATTGTCTAAAGATTTCCAATTGTGTATGCTTCTTCTTCACAGAATTTCTTCCACAAACCGTAGTCATAATTATTCTTTTATACCTGCCTAAATAGAAGTTTATTTAGGAACTAAATTAACGTTTAGAGTTATACAAGAGGACTTTTTTTTTTGTCGTAAATGCACATGTCTAGTCTACCCTTACTCCTAGGGGGCGGGGGAGGAGGCAATCTATTCTATAGAAAGGTTCAACTAAGCCGGAGGAACCTTGATGGGAGGCAAGATTTGAACTTTTGATCTCCCACTCCATAATTAATTAATGTGATGGCCAATTCGTCTGGAGGGAGTTGGTTATACAAGAGGACATCTACTATCTATACATTTTTTGATACAATTTATCCCGAGGTTTATTACGAACCAAATTAATGTTTAAAGTTATACAAGGAGCCATCCACTATCTATACTGCACAAAAATGTTGTTTGACATCTTTGTCCAACACATACCATGAGGGTCCTACAGTAAGGGTGGCAATCAAGTTGGGTTCGGGTTGGCGGTCGGATTGAGGCCCAAGTATAACAAAAAACCCGCTGATCCGAACCTGACCCGCCAACCCGAAACGGGTCAGGATACCTGACACGAACCCGAAAATTTCGGGTTGGCGGGTTGGCAGGGTCGACCCGAAATTACCCGAAACTTAATTTTGATTTATTAATTTATCACTATAATTTCTAATAAAATCAATTTCTTACAAAATTAATTACATCATCAAGTAATAAAAATTTAAATAAATAATTCCAAACCAAATGTAAAATAAATTAAACACCGTAAAAGTGTTTTATCCCAAACCAAATATAAAATAAATTAAAATAGCATAAAAGTAAAAAATAATAAAATATATTATTTGTCCAAATATGATAATTTCAACTTCACACAAGTTAAATAAATTCATTTAGGATTAAGTAATTAATGATTTAATGCCTTTGAAAAAAAAGAATGATTTAGTTTAGTTAGATCAAATAATTTTGGGAATTTCGCCATTTTCGTCCCTAAACTTTTACACTAAAACCAATTTCGTCCTTTATGATATTTTTTAGCCAATTTAGTCCTTCGACTATTTTGAAGTCTCCAATGTAGGACTTTTGCAGCGGCGACACCATATTTTACATATTCTGTACAATCGATGATGGGTATAACTGTCATTTTAAATTAAATTCTTTAATTTAAATGCACTTTGACTATAGTTCTTCTTCTCCAATGGGAATCTCATCCCATTCACGAAATTCGCACAAACTCTCACTTCACACACACATATTATATATTCTTCAGTCCACGCTGAGAAAATTGAAGACTTTCTGCTTTACGTCAAATTGATAGTTAACATCAAAATGAGGCTGAATACTTCTCACCCCTGTATGACTGCCAATTACAGAATCTACTCCAACCCAATCATTTTCACGTGTAGTGAACTGGCAAAAGGTACTATCAAAAAAACTGGGAAACTAAAAGAAACAAAACGGGTAACTACTAAAACATGCACGCCCAGATGGCAAATTTTCTGCTGAAATTGGAGAAAGAGAAAAAAATAAGATAAAACCCCTATTTAAAAAAAAAACAAATGGAAGTTGAAGTAATTGATTTGTTTTCCCTTAATAGTAGTCAAACTATTAAAGGTGTTCGGAATCAGACTGATGTGCAAAAGATTGTTCAGCACAACCCAGATAATCTAATAGAGCCTCTGAACAAAAATGGTTTAACAGTCTCATCATTTCCCAAACCGCCCCATTATTTCAATGCAACATTAATATGAAGTTAAAGAGAAAACAAACACAATAAAACTTAAATCCCAGATTAGCCGCTCAAGCAGAAGCGAGAAGCGCACCCCCCCTACCCACCAAAAACGGGGGGCGGAAAGAGAAAATGCGTGGAAATCCGATCTCCATGAGTTTGTCTTGTTTCTAAAAACTTGGCCGCTAACACTCTGGTTCTTCAGTGCCCTTCCCCCTGCAAACCCAATTGTCAGTGGCACTAATAAGTAGATGTACGATATTACTCAGCTTTTGATTTTTTGTTTTTTTCTTGTAAATTTTGTTTCATGATTGAGTGTGTGTGAGAGAGAGTTTGTGTGAATTTCTGGTGAATGGGATGAGATTTCCATGGAGAAGAAGTAGTCCATTTAAATTAAAGAATTTAATTTAAATGACAAATATACCCCTCGTCGGTTGTACAGAATATGTAAAATGTGGTGTTGCTGCCGCAAAAGTCCTACATTGGAGACTTCAAAATAGTCAAAGGACTAAATTGGCTAAAAAAAATCATAAAGGACGAAATTGGTTTTAGTGTAAAAGTTTAGGGACGAAAATGGCGAAATTTCCAATAATTTTTATGTGTATTAAATTATTTTTAATTTGTAAACGGGTCATATCGGGTCATATCAGGTCACCACGGGTTGACCCGAAATCGACATGTTTTCTTTTCGGATTCGACCCGATTCTGACCCGAACCTCCCAAACCTCAACCCAAATCCATTAATTTCGTATTAGGTCCGTGTCGTGTTTTCAGGTCAGGTCAGGAATTGCCACCCCTAAGTCCTACATATAATGAGTTGATTTATTCTCTATTCATGGGTATAATAGAGAGAGAGAGAGAGAGAGAGACATCCTTGTGCTGGCATTTTGGCTAAGAAAGGAGCTCTTTAGTATGCTCGTCTGAAACATACGAGAGTGTCAGGTTGTTAATCTGTATGCTAGAGAGTTTAGAAAATTGCCGGAGAGGTCTTGCAAGTTAAAAGGGTGAAAGCACCAAAGTTTGGGATTAATTCCATTTGCAACCTTTAACTGTACTTCAATTCTTATTTTGATCTCTAAATTATGAATTGAGACACTTTAGTTTCTAAACTATCAAAACGATCCTATTTAAGTACAGTCATTAACGAAATCCCCAAAAACAACGGAATACTGGTCAATAGTCATTTGAGTAGCATGATTACATGTTGTAAGGGCGTAGAAAGAAAATCAAATTAAACAATGACCCAAAAAATTCTAAAGTTAGAAGGAAGAGAGTATTTTGGGAGTCCAAATTGAAAATCAAGGTATATTTTAGGGATTAAAGAGTTTCAATTTAAAGTTTAAGAATCAAACCAAAAATTAGGGAAGAAGGATAGGTTGGATGGGACGTGAGGAGGGGGTCCAAATAAGAGGTCACATGTTCGAAAACCTTCCATTTACACTAAAAACTGTTTTTCAAAAAATGAAAAAAATAAGCCAAAGTAGAAATCAAGGTATAGTTTAGGGATTAAAATGTCCTAATTTAGAGTTTAAGGACCAAAATCGTAATTAGGCTCTAGTTAAAGGGTGCAAAATAGAATTAACCCTAATAGCACGGGAGGATCAACACTTAAGAATTGAATAATTTCAAGAGGATATGTAAGTTATTCTTTTTTTTGGGAATTGAATAAGAGAAAAGTAGTTTAGTTGTACAAAAACATGATTGATACTTAAGAATTGCTGTAACATTTAAAATCACTGTGTTTATATTTTTGCAATTTTTGCTTCATCAAAACAGGAGGAGCAACACAATGAGACAAATAAAACATCCGAGCAAACGCCATTAAAATGAAATTGGAAATAAAATTTTTATTGATTTATAATTATTTTCAAACAATCTTTTTATGATAACACATGTATCTCAGCTCTGCCGATTTGAACATTGAATAAGTGATATTTGAACAAAATAGTAACCATAGAAAATATCACTAATTGAACCTTCAAAACTAGCTAGGGTGAGAATCACTCTTGTTACCTAAAGCAACTTTTATTCTTCTTAATTCTGCAAGCCTGCATTGTTTATATCACAAATGCAGATGGAAAAAGGAGATTTCGAAATAAAATACGAGAGTTTAAAGATACTCAATTCCTATCATTCACTCAACTCCAAGCTTCTTTCTTAGCTCCAACACGAAGTCACAAGTCTCGTACAGATTATGCAGAGTTGTGGACACACTGTCCCTCTGCCTGCACCTTTCACCCCATGCAACAAGTTTTGGGCACTCCTCATTCATCTTCAGGTTTCCAAACTTCTCCAGTGCATAAAACCAGCTGTAGTAGGGTATAAGGGCAATATCTGTGATGCCAAAAGTCTTTCCCCCAAAGTAAGGTTTGTCTCCAAGCTCTGCATCCAATACTTTGAGGCTGCTTATTAGCTCTTTCATGGCTGCTGCCTGGGTTTCACCCTTGGTTGTCAAACACTGGTCTTCCAGAAGTATA